GAAAAATTTTCTTTTCAAAATTGCGAAAAATGCTTTAAATAAAAGTTGTTTTCCTTCTAACTTCGATATTTAACGAGTTACGTATGATTATATGGCATTTTATTGATGTTGACAAAATCCGACCATCCCAGCGTCGAAACGGCGAACTTTTGGAAAAAATTTTCGTTTTTCCTCAATAACTTCTAAACCCTTGGAGATACGAGAAAATTGCATAGGACCTTTCTTGTAGAGGGCGACGAGATCTACAATTTCCATGTAAAAATTTATCACTAGCTTCAGTAGTTTACGAGTTATTAACGAAAAACGAAAAAACAGTTTTTTGCAAATTACTCGTAAACTATTGACACTAGCGAAACATTTTTATATGGAAATTGTAGATCTCGTCGTCCTCTACAAAATGGTCCTAAACATTATCCCCCTAAGTTCATCCGTTTGGGAGTTATTGACAAAAAACGAAAATTTCGCAAAATCTGAAGGGGTACCCCTTGGAAAAATCTCGGAAAAATCGAAAATTTTTTGTTGTTGTTTATTATTAGCAATGTTCTTCCGACGTCTGACTTCTTTTTAAAAAATGCGTTTCTAAAGTGCATAAACTTTTGGGATTGATTGTATAGCCAATACATCCTTAAAACTACAGAGCTATATAGTGTTTTACATACAAGCTTTCCTATGAAAACTGCACTCTATTATCTTTTTATATTATCTATTTTCATGCCTTCTCTTTTGGACAATTTCCCTCTATGTTCAGCACTCTGAATGCCCGGCACAATACATTAGTTCAGAACTAGATGACTTAGATCAGTAGCAAATATTGATTGCAGCAACGAGTCTCATATTTTTGATAAATTCTGTTGTAAATTTTGTACAGGGTGAAGCGACAACTTTGTCTACTTTGAACATCACTAGAACCGAGGAGGAGAGTTTTAATGAAACGGTCAGACTCCGGTTTTAATAAAACTTGCCAGGCTTCAAGATCAGCTAGAAATGTTAGATGATTATATTTTTTTATCTGCAGTAACTCAAGTTTAAGGGGTGGAACCACCCTTGTAAAAAAAAGTATTTCAAATTGAAGTTGCAAGGGACAATTTATTTTGATCTTGCTTTGACCCTATGTCAGAGCTACTCAGATATATCGAGGTCAGTTCAGCTTTTTTAAATAGGAACTCTCATTTTGTACGATGCACTTCGATTGCATGTTGAAAGATAAATACGTTTCGTACCTATCCATTTTACCTTCTGCTTTTCAAATATTCGACCTGGAGTAACGTCATGAATAGACCGCAGATTTTTATTAGCATTAATTTTAAAAAAGTATTTATTTTTCACCGTACGATTGAAGTTCGTCATAAAAAAACGGAGGCTCCTGTTTAAGAAAAAGATGAACGATTAGAATAAATCTCAATGACCGTGACCCGAGGACTCGGCAAGATCAGTGTCAACTGTTTCTCTTTAAACCCAGTGAATTTGTTTAAACAATTTCACTCGATAGCACAATCAGTTCCAGTGATACTCAACGTGGACAAACTTATACCCTCACTCTGTACAAAATAAAAATTGAGCTCTGTAATATTAAGATTCTGTCTCGAATCTTGATAATAATAGAGCTCAATCAAGATGACTCATAAGAAATGATTTCGAGTTCTAACTAGAAACGACAATAACAGAATTTTTACGTAAGTAGTAGGTTTCATAAAATAAATTGGACAATCAAAACGTTCGTAAAATATGCATGAGGAAGCAAACTCACAATATCAAAAGCTTCTTTACTCGAACGCAATAATATCTCGACTCGATGAACATTGACAGTGATACTTGTTGCATCGAGACACGAAAGTAAAAAAAAAAGTGTTTTCGTGGGCGAGTTGGGCGCCAAAATGTATAGCTTGGCACCAGCGAATCTGATGATTACGAAATCGCATGATCGCGCGATCACTATTTTCGCACGGCGCATGTACCGACCACCGATTGCATATGTTCTTATTCCCGTTTCGAGGCCGCAGCATCCAC